AAATGTAAGGCTATCAGACACAGCAAATGTCCCTTAGAATCTTTCAAAACTCCCGATGCTCGTTTCGACCATATTCACCTGGATTTGGTAGGACATTTATCAGATTCAAACGGATACTCTTACCTCTTAACCTGTGTAGACCGTTTCACTCGATGGCCAGAAGCAGTACCTATCATGGTCATCACTGCTGAAACAGTGGTCCACGCCTTCGTCAAACGATGGGTAGCAAACTTCGAGTGCCCTTCAACTATCACTACAGATCGCGGATGTCAGTTCGAATCTGAACTTTTCCGTTATCCGACCACACTTTTAGGAATCACTCGCTTCTGAACGACTGCCTACCACCCACAAGCAAACGGGTTGGTAGAACGTTTTCACCAACAACTAAATGTAACCAGTGGGGTTACACAAGGAAGTGTGGTTGGTCCATTACTCTTTCTCCTTTTTATCAATGATGTATGTTCCCTCTTTCAGTATGGCAAGCCTTTCCTTTTTGCTGATGACCTGAAAGTAGTTTATTCATTCTCTTCTCCCATGAAAGAAAGCTATATTTCAGCGGTAATCCAGGAGGAAATAAACAAGTTGTACGAATGGACTATTTCGTGGAATATGCCACTTAATGTTGACAAAAGTGGATTTATTCACATTGGTCGCTGTCTTAACTTAAATCTGACTGTACAGACACATACACTCAAACCTCTCAACACTGTTCGTGACCTGGGTTTAAGATGTAGCAACAGTCTGAACTTTTCTGAACACATTATATCTCAAGTATCCAAAGCTAGAAAGCTCATCGGATTGATAATGATAAACTTCAATAATATCGAATCGAGATTGTTACTATACAGAAAATGTATCTTACCCATTATTGAATATGGTATTTTAGTTTACAGTAATTGTAGACATAATGATCTGATTAGAATTGAAGGTGTTCAAAGAAAGTTCACCAAAGCTGTTCTGGGGTATTCCGATAACAAAGACTATTACCAAAGATGTCAACAACTCAACTTAGAACCTCTTTGGATCAGACGTATCAAATTAAATCTTGTCTTTATCTACCGGCTCATTAACGGTATTTCCTACTCATCGGTATCCACCCCTTCATACCTTATAATATCATCCCACAATCTACGCAATAAGGAGAACATTCTAGCGATTCCAAGAACCCACACAAACTTACGTCAGAATTTTTTCCTTATTCGCTACTCAACCATGTGGAACAGACTGCCAGTGAACCTCCGTTGCAGTGAAACTACAACCCGGTTCAAACGTCTCCTTGACGATTTTCTTTCCGAAAGTGGATAATGTCACCTATTGAATATCAATGTATTCAATAATGATTTATACAAACAAGGTCCGTCATCTATTTAATTGCTTGAAAAGCAAAATAAAAACTTTAAGTCTTTTCACGTCTATTTTTTATTATTTCTCTTTATCTTAATATATGAAGTCTGCTTATGTTCGTGTTTATCATTATTACCGTTATTAATATCATTATTAATTCCCCAACACATTAGATATTCTCTTTATCTCTTCTTATCCTTCTAAACATATTTAACTCCAGATTGTCCTTTGAAATCATTTTGACTTTCGTATCATCAATCTTAATTATTATTGCACAAATATTTATACTAATATCCGGTTTCATTCTGTATACTATTACATAAATCTAAATGTATTCATCCGAGTGCTTTAAAAGATTTTTATTTTTTATTTTATTTTTTTCAATTGCTGGTTTCTTTCTGAGGTTGATATTCATTACACAATTATTATTCTTATCATGGATGAACCTTTTCACTAAGTGTTCACTTCTTTTCTCTCTCTTCTTCCCTTCTAAATAAATCTTATTCTTAAGATTATGAGGTTTCTAATTAAGACAATAACTTGTGTTACACTTTATTTAACTTCTCAGATTAGTTTTATCTTCACTATGCATATATGACTCATACAGAGTGATATTTCTTTATCCTTTTCACTTAATTGTGACTTTCATAGCATCACTCTAAACAATAACTGCACAAACATCTATTCTAGCGTCATATCTTACTACAACGATAAATTATTTTTTGTTACTAATTTAACGATACACACATAGTCGTTTATTCTTGTTCTGTGTTTATAAACACGCCTATTACACTATTTGCGTATTTCACGTCTCCTTTATTTATATTCCCTTATTTTCGCCATTTCCTTCTTTAAACTCAATTCAATATTCTTCTCAATTACACAGACCCGATTTATTATTATTAATATTCTACTATTATTATTCTAATTTTTATTTATTTTTTATTTTTTAAATATGGCAAGTATAATGCTAACATTATTGAAAATTGTGTATTATTGCATTTTCTGAAGAAACCCGAAATGGTTTCTTCACAACACTTATGTACCCATAAGATGTTTGTGAATAATAATAATAATAATAATAATAATAATAATAATAATAAAAGCTTCACTATCAGCTGCGAACTTTTCACAGTGGACCGACGCTCTTCCTTTCGTCTTACTAGGTATCCGCAATGCAATGAAAGCTGACATGGGATACGCTTCAGCTCAACTCGTTTATGGAACGACACTTCGACTTCCATGAGAATTCGTGGATCTGTAGAATTATGATCTACTATGATATTAGTACTGTTCTAATAATAGACCTAATCCTAAATCTGTAGATTTGTTATGATATAACTGCCTAATCTATAAGATCTTACGTGGAAGTCACACCATCGACTACACCAACTCACTGTATCGTATCAATTACCAATACATGATGTAGAACAAGGTTAGGCTAGAGAAAGAACAATATATTTAATATGAATAGAAGATATAAGGTAACATTCAGCAGAGACCACGCCTGCATGGCCGAGCCATGCCGTTCGATCAACTCTAATTTATTCAATTCATTATTCGCACCTTCTACATCGTTAGGTATTTCTACACGTTAAATATTGAATACCTATTTTCCGAGTAATCTCGTATTCAGCTTTGAGGATAGTGTGGTTATGGTCCAATGCCACTACAGATCCTTCACCCTCTTCAATGAACATGGATCTAACCTCCTACACGAACAGGCTTACAAACGCAATGCGTTCTGTTAAACCTAATTCCACTCGACCGCAATCAACTGATGTTTTCGTTCAACCTGACTTACAATAAATACACACGCTTTCGTTCGTCGAGACGCACATCGACGACCATTTGAATCAGCATACGAAGGACCTTTCAAAGTTTTTCGACTCGAACCTAAGTACGATGTAATCGATAAGAACGGAACCAACGATAGCATCAGCATCGATTGCCTCAAAGCAGCGTATTTAGAACGAAATTCTATCCACATCGATTTCCCTTCGGAACAATCGGACGACATGACTACCACACTTATAATGCCTCAACTGACAGACAACACACGATGATACTTCGGCAGTATTTAAAAATAAACTGAGAACAAAAAGAAACATTTTATTAAAATCATTTTTACGCCACTTTCCTTTTTTCCGCCCACTTTGTGTCTTGGTGCGCGTACGAGTTTATTTCGGCATGCACTTACATATTCTTTTTTTCAGGACGGCTGGAAAAGACGAAAAAAGGACGATGGGGTTTACGGGAAACCGAAATTTTCACTGTATATTATTTTATTTATTTACTTCATGGTCCTGCTGAACCTAGCAAGCTATCCGAAGAGTGTTTACCAACGACAAACTCGTTGAGTTTAAACTTCTGGCTGTCCACATCTTAGGGTCATCACCTGTAGCGGTAAATAAATCACCAAAATAAGTAGCTCTGTAAGTTTTCGACACTGGATGCTGACCACATTAGTTTTAATGGACTCACCTAGCTGAAGGTGCTCGGTCATGCATCCGCACCAGATCACGAGTGTGAACGCCGCTCTCAACAACCCCTGCAATCGCTAGCCAGATTAGATCAGATGATCCTCGATATATTGGTAGCCTATCAAATATATCTTTGAACCTCCTCGCTTCTGTCTTTGATTTCACTTGTTGGGTACGCTTCATATTAGAAGGTGTTACTGGTTAAAGCGTTGTCAAACTCCGAATGGCTTTGGCAACTTCAAGTTAGACAAAGATATTACTCAACTGTTTTCTAGGAATGCCTAAGTTCCTACCTCGGGGGTCGTTTATCCGCTGTCAATAGACTCGTATATCTGTGATATCTTCAATACTCCATGCCGCCTCAGTTGATTAATAGTTTCTGTGGCCAAATACATTTACAAAGGCGTTGTAGTGCAACTGGTTCTCAATTACACGATCTTCGGAGCAGAACATACGATAACTGAGAAGATTCACATTCAACATCTGACACCACGGAGAAAGCCGTAATGGTGGATGCCGTAACACAAAGTCAAAACGGCATAGCTCGACCATTCAGGCGTAGTCACTCTGAGACTTATTCCTCTTCATATTAGATATACCATTCAAACCCTAACCTAAACGTGTCTCTTAGAAGAGTCAAACGTCATATTGCTGATTGTCACGATAGAACGAGTCACCATAGACAGTGATGTAACCTTCACTTTGGGATTGGGTCTATCATTTTAGCAGTTGAGATAAGTGTACTTATACCGAACTCGATTATAATCCCACAGCACTACTTCATGTTAAGAAACCAAATAAAACATGAAATATACGTAGGAATTTTCCAGACAGTAGAATTTTTAAGCTGTAGAAGTTACCACCGTAGAGGTCACTGACAATATATTTCATTGAGTTTTGTATAATTACGCTCGATATATATCATAGGTCTTATATGACTGATGGAGCGCACTGTGATACCACTTCTCAACCACTCCTATTGTTTCCCAACGTTTTTACCCTTAGGTTCTGAAGGTATGTAGAACGAACGATAACTAATTGTAGCCAACGATATTCTATCGGAATGGACAAATAGTTGGTTATCGCTTCACAGAGAGTTGGAACTTTGAAATGTGGTGAGCGGGTTTAGGATAAGTACGTTACGCCTAAGACTATGCTACAGGTCTACTATTCATGGGCAACCGGTTAGCTTGTTGTCGCCAAACATGGATAGAATTTCATGATGAATGTGAAGAAGACTGCAAGAATCACCAATTACCTCGAGTTTTTGGTCATCAGAATAATGGTGCTGATTTTTCCGAAGAGGATAATGGATTCAAAATTGAAAATCGTGAACCCTGTGTCAGTTGCACACGTACTAGCGTACCTGAGAAACCTTCTGTTGCATATAATTTAACACAACACATAAGTGAACGGGAACCAGAAGGTTTGTGACCTATGGGTCACATTTATTATATTAATGCACCATAGATGTCGAGTTTGACCCATCCCTTAATGCCTCACAGCATACACTGTTCCTTTCCGGCATTACACCTGAATATCAGAGTAAGTGAAATATTTTTTACACTAAGATCTAGTAGTAGGATTTTCCAGGGACCTGACGGTACGTTGTAAATTTATTTATGGTTTACGCGATATCAGCCCAAGTCTAGGAAAGGGACTCCTACAACTCTTTCTATTAAACGGTGGAGTTCTTGCAGCACTATTTACGTTGGGGATGGCTATCTGGCTCGTCCTGATGTGAATGACATTGTATGTAGCGTGTCAGTGGCTGTTCAACTTCTTATGTGCAGTGATCTAAACAAACACTTTTCAAAGCTGTTACATAAACCAGGTGTAAATTCCTGTCCTGACTTCCTGCAGGATATGTATGAAGAGGTGTATAGAAATTTTGATGAGCGAGTCTACCCCATTGAGGTATGTCTAAAAGGTCTGTCTGAATTATTTCAAAGTAAATGTGTTTAACTTCATTCAATTTCCCTTTCCCTTTAAACTAGTAATTACCAGGGCAAGTAAGAAGCTCTGTAATGTTTTGGTTGTAAATGTTACATAGGTTTTTGTTACTTTTTAAGTAGCCGTTTATGGTACTACTGAAAAATCTTGACACCTTAATAAACAAGGTAACTGAAAAGGGTCTTTTTGTAAATGTTTTTTAGCCATTCAGATTGTCGGAAAATTAGCGGCACTTAATACTCAAGAACATACTTTTTGTATTTTATGACGAGTCACAATGTGAGGGCTGGTGACGCATGCTCTCTCAAACTGTTGTAATTGAAAAGAAGTTCTCATCTGACTCAGCGGTTGTAGTGAATTTTCAGATTGCTTAGTTGTCTCGGAAAACTGAGTGCACTTGGAATTTCTTATCGGCGTAAGCATTTTGGTTTAATTCAGTGGGTCTAGTTTGGATAGTACCTTACCTTGTTATATAGAATAAGTAATACTCTTAACCTAATCCTTACATGTGTAGACTGGTTTTTTATGGCTTGTCACTCGTAATACACATAAATGCTATTTTAATATTCCATTCTAAGTGTCCTTCACATTCATAATTATATCAGTAATTCGTCCTGTTTTTAACCGATAGTCATCCATTATTTTCCTCCCCAGACTTAGTTTTCAAGTATTACCATTGGTCTTAGTCGTTTATTCATCTTCGGTGTTTGTATTTCAGTCTCTTATACTCCTACCACAAGCTTGATTTAGACAAGGTTCATATGTACTGCTTTGGCTCATTTATAAAAACGATGTAAACGTAAATTTGCCTAGAGAATTAAGGCTTATTGGTTGCACTGATTCATCTCCATCACATGTGTCCATCGACCATAGAAAATCTTTTAAAACACAGGCCTTCTTAATTTACAAACTAGCTGAAAATCCACATCACATCCAGGGTCAGCTAATTTCTTGTATTTGTAGAAATATAGGGCTTTCCCAACTTCAAGATCTTCATTACTCTTTAGAATCCGGTAGCCTATAGTTCTACCCGTTATTACTAGAGATTTTCACTTTCGAAGGAGTCAGAAGAAACGAAACAAAATTGATGTTTCGCTATTCAATACTAATAGCTTTACCAAAGTATTGTAGATAAGGATGTACAAAGACTGAAGTTTATCTATGGTAACTCAGTTGAAATGCTTCTGTACGAAGCAATTCTGTGTTGTCGAGTAAATAAATTGAAGAAAAACTAACGAGTTTATAGGCTGGCACATTTAACAAGTGTATGAATTATAAGAATTGCATGTAGTTGTGTGATACAGTTTTCGTATCACATCTGTGTTGACGATTCTAATTTGTGGGACGTTACATGTTTATGTATGACCGGGAATTCGTTAAGTTTTTTAATTTCTTTTGGATATCTCGGTGATCAGATAGAAGCTCATGGGTGTTCATGTGTTCCTATATTGATTTCTCAAGCTTTTTAATGTGTACTGAATCACATTTTGAATGTGACATTTTGTTGATAATTAAATTGTGGATCTTCCGGTGTTTTAACTTATGCATGAACTAAATTGCTTTGTAGTGTTTAATGTGGTAGAGAGTACCCTGGTATTACTCGTCTAATCTCATCTGTGTCTGTTCTTATTGAGTGACGATTGTTGTAGTCCATGGTTTCGGAGTACTTTTCAATCACGTTTAATATCGAGGCGTTAGCGAAAAAAATCTACTTGTTTTTTTCACTCACTGGGAAGTACTGGATTTTAAAAATGATGAATATCACTTACCTAATACCCATGTTTTTTAAAACCGTTAGATCTGAAATCGATCGGGATATTTATACTATAGAAATGTCGTTAGTTTTTATAAGAATATGTTAGTCAAAAAAATTGAATATAGTAGCTAGATGTTTAAAATCAAACGTCTATGCAATTCACATAATCTTTTTTCAGTTTACTAAGATCTCACTATTGTAGGTCCCGTCCGTGGTGGTCGGGCTTGTCTGTCGTGATGGCCCAACCAAGCTATATTAGCTGGAACATATATTCCTGTAGGTTTTACCATGCCAGGCAGGTCGATTGGAGAACAGTAAAACTAAAAGCATCAACTCAAGGTCTGAGGGAGAAGTCATACTGCTGACTGTAGAGGGGTGTGACAGCAGCACGGTGTTTCCCTCGGACAACCAGCATCTGCAGCGATGCTGTCTTCTCACAAGGAAGTAAGGGGTTAGAAAAGGTCGACCCTAAAAATGTCACACCTCACGGATTTCCGTCTCCGACGGTAAGGCCCTTTGAAGAACGGAGCTAACACGTGAAAACTCTCCCACAGAAAGGCCGTGCGCGACCGACCTCAAGCAGTTGTCCATTGGGCTCTGTGGTCACGCTCTCAGGTCGTTAAGATGAACAATAATCCAACTTTCTTTTCAGGTTCCTCGGGAAATACCCTTCCACGGTGTGGGCAGCCGGGTAGTGATATCAGCCCTCATACCCATAACAGCACACAAGACCAAGTTGGCCACATTTAAATCCTTCCTAAGCCTCCTAATAGCTCTCTTATCTCCACGACTAACCCTTCTCACTTCCCTTTATCACCTTGCACCGCTAGTGCGAACGGTTCGAGTATGCAGAACGTTATTCCTGGTCTCCTGAAACCACGGTCGAAATTACATCTAGGAGCTTTTAACGTTCGAACACTATGTCAAATAGGACAACAGGCTTCCTTAGCTAGGACTTTAGAATCTCGTGCCATCGATGTGTGCTGCGTCTCCGAAACGCGTATACGAGATCCGAGTAGCGTCATTCATTTGACCTCACCATGTCAGGCCCTGACAGGTTTACTCCTAAGATTTTTAAGGATGGTGGTCCAGTACTAGCAATGAGATTAACCGAGGTCTTAGGTAGAATTTGGGAACTGGACGTAATCCCATCTGACTGGTCTCAATCACTGATTGTGCCAGTTTATAAGAAAGGACAAAAGTCCTCTTGTGACAATCACAGAGGAATCAGTTTGACTAATATAGTGTCTAAAATATTAGCTTCAATAATACTTCGACGCCTAATCAAAGCTCGTGAAGAGCAGACTCGAGAAAATCAGGCTGGTTTTCGACCTGGACGTGGTTGTATAGATCAGATATTCACACTACGTCAGGTTCTAGAACACAGACACACGTTTAGACGCCCCACAATGGTAGTATTTCTCGACCTTAAGGCGGTATTCGACTCTGTTGATCGTGATGTTCTATGGCAGTGTTTGTCACTGAAAGGAGTACCAAAGAAGTACATTAACCTTATTCAGGCTCTCTACTCGAACACAACTGGTAGAGTGAGAGCTTATGGCGAACTGTCATCAGAATTGATTACCTCAAGTGGTGTTCGTCAGGGCTGTCCACTCTCCCCATTCTTGTTCAACTTTGTGGTCGACGTACTTTTAGAGATAACACTCTCCTCATCTAAATTTCCAGGGGTTGAACTTCTACCGGGAGGTTCACTTGTTGATTTAGAATATGCAGATGACATAGTTTTATTTGGTGAAGACGCTGACAAAATGCAGAGTCTTCTGACCACTCTAAGCAACAATGCAAGCATGTTCGGGATGCGATTCTCTCCCTCGAAATGCAAAATGTTGCTTCAGGATTGGGTTACATCGACACCCGAACTAGTGATAGGGAGTGAAGTAGTTGAGTGTGTCGACCGCTTCACTTATCTTGGAAGTCTCATCAGCCCTTGTGGTCTGGTGTGTGACGAAATCTCAGCACGGATACAGAAGGCTCGACTAGCTTTTGCCAACTTGCGTCATTTATGGCGTAGGCGAGATATCCGTCTACCAACCAAAGGACGTGTTTACTGCGCAGCAGTTCGTTCCGTCCTACTTTATGGTAGTGAAACATGGCCGGTAAGAGTAGAGGATATTCGTAGGTTACTAGTATTTGATCATAGGTGTCTTCGAAGTATTGCTCGTATATCCTGGGACCACCGAGTAAGTAACGCAGCTGTTAGGAAACGGGTACTAGGTAAGGATGGCAAATCAATTGATGAAGTAGTGAAACTTCATCAGTTGAGATGGCTGGGACACGTGTTACGTATGCCCAACCACCGACTACCTCGACGTGCTATATTCAGTGGTATAGGAGTAGGTTGGAAGAAAGCTAGGGGCGGCCAGACCAAAACATGGCACAAATCCATCAAGTCACTGACAAGTGGACTGAGTCATGTTGGTAGGTGTAGACTACCTGGTTGGGGACCGCGAGATGATAGCAACCGATGGTTAGAGACCCTGAATGACATGGCTCAAAATCGTTTGCAATGGCGCAGGTGCATCCACTCTCTATGTTCTCCCAATTTCTAATTATCTGAATTCTTCATGCCCCTTTTTTTCCTCTTTCCAAATTTATTTCACTGGATTATACTCGTTAAATAACATCTCCAAACCCTAATCTTCCCGATTACTGCTTATACTCTTACTACCTCTACCACTACGGGATTTGAATCGACCACTGCATCTCTGTGCTAATGTGGTATGGCAACTCGAACTGATGTACGTACGTATTAAGTTCTACGTTGTTACTGACTGACTGACTGACTCACCATGTCAAAATATAGAACTAATTCGATTCACTCTTCGTATATCTGGAAGCCCTGATGCTGTTTCCCATGACCTCGCTGGCGTAGGTATAGCATTGAGTCCTAGGGTAGAACTAGCTCTCTTAGACTGGATCCCAGTAGACAGTTGTTTGTGCACTGTCCGACTAAACGGAACAGTAAGGACTCGGAAAGATAGGGACACTCGTCGTTGCTTTTTCATTGTCTCTCCCTACTCTCCCACTAACTGCAGGTCAGATGATCTGACGAATGAATTTTACGGAAAGCCTTTCTACCTTCTCCGAAAAGCTAAGCGCTTTGATGTAGTAATGGTGGCTGGTTACTTTAGTGTTCAAGTAAGCAAACTAAGCGAAAGGGAAAGACACCTGGGTGGATCTTATAGCGTCGTGGCTCAAAGAACAGATAATGGCGACCGTCTGTTGCAGCTATGTTCAGATAACCGCATGTTTCTTGCATATACTAACTTTAAGATTACGGAAAAATAACCCATTGTGACATTGAATAAAAGAGAATTCAGCGAAGAAAATTTTCTTTTAGACGAAATCATTTACTTAAGCTGTTCGCTTGTATACAATTTTTCCATATAACTATATATACAAATGTACAGCTTAAGTAAATGGTTTCGTCAAAAAAATTTCTTCGCTGAATTCTTTTTATTTTAGGGAAAAACATCTTTTGACAATGCCACCCTTGAATTCGTCCCAACGTTGAACCCAAATAGATCACATCGCTAGCAGCCACTGTAAAGTGTGATCGATAAACGAACTCACCAATGATAAAGTGAAACGCCCACCACCAGATTAACTTTCTTTGACCTTGTATGACTATGTTTTGCTTATTCATCAATCACAATTTTTATGTTCATTATAAAACAATATTCGCCTTGTTGACTCATTTTTCCTATCATCTAGTTACTGCTCGGTATATTATTTATGTCTCTGTTTTTCCCTGTGTTAATAGACTGTACTGTTTACTTTTTACACTAATGGTGTTAATTTATGATTTAGAAACAGATAAAGTTTATCAAGCCAAATAGCTTACTTGTTCTGACTTTGGCTAAACCAGGACTCTGTGCTCGACAGTTTAGAAAATAGCTTAGAGTTGCACCTGTAGGAAATTGCTTCCTACAGCCATCAATGGAGGTGCTTGATAGAAGACTGTCGCTCATTCTGGAACACATGCTTATATTCAGATCATGCACTAGTGCTAGCACGTGTTTGTCTGCGTCTCACTGGATGTAGGAAAGACGCTTCAAGAATACCTATTAGGGTCCTACTTAACGATAGCCAAGCTAAGAATATATTTCAAATATCTTAACATAATGTAAAATTACCTACATATTATCATTCTTGCACCTATCTTATTATACATTAATGACTGTTTTCTTTTGTTTTTTGTTTAGCACCTCGTGTATGATGAAGATGCAAATACCAATACTATAAATGATTGGAAGTCCTCAACAGCCTATCATATTCGACAGTTTCTGCGTCGTCTTTTCAGCACAGCCCTATTAGGACCCGAATGTGCTATTGTAGCCCTTGTAGGTGAATGCTTTTACTTCGGAAACGCTTTTTATGTAATAAATGTACATTCATTCTTACATGAAGATTTCGACTTTCATCAGACCTGATATTTCGGATAGTACTGACGTCCCATAGATCGATTTTTTAATGTCAAATCTTTCACAGGTTTTTAGACAGGATCAGTGCCAACTTACAGAAATTAACATTTTAGTGCTTTTATACATAGTTGAATACTCACTCGTCATTTGTTTACCTATATATAAACAGTTTTCTATACAGATTTTATTACTTTTTATAATGTACTGAAAGTTCCAGTACACTCAAAGCAACAACTTCAAAAGTCGATCTAAGCACGACGTCATCATATTTGAGTTAGGAGCATGTACTACCTTTCGTTTCCTAGGTACTGAATACTTGAGACTCAAGCACTTGATGATAGGATGTTGAATGGTAAGTTTGGACTGTTATTGCACGTGAAATGTGTAGATACAAGTTTATTGCTTTCGTCGAGTTTTATTTTAGCTTAGTACGATCTGGATTTTCATAAATTAGTACCTAGTTTCTTCATTTAAATATTGAGTATTTCTGGTTTTATATGAAGGCTGACACTATAATCTTTATCTTTTTCACTTCATTTGCTTCAGATGTAAGGCACTAGTCATTACCAAATGTCCAGATAAAATGGGATTAAGATGCTTACTTGGCTTGAAGATATAACGTTCTTTTTATTTGTTTTACTTATCTTTGATTCGAGTATTTTTATATTTTCATAAACATCCACTCTGTTCTAGAATATTTTGTCACAAATATTTTATTGTCTTTTAGTATATACTTGAGGAATGACTTACCAATTTTCATCAGTTCATTTGTTTGTCATTCACATCATGACTGTTTGGGTAGTTAAAATATAATAGTTAACACTATTTAAATTTAAGAATTAAAACCTTAGCTTTATGACTATTATAACCATTTTTATTTTTATTTAATTAGATATTTCTTGAACGACTTATACTTGGAGCCGAAGTGGCTATGACATCATGGACATGGCGTCGTCAACTGTTAGCCTGTGTTCTTCTTGCTAGCAAAGTTTTAGATGATCAGGCTGTATGGAATATTGACTATTGCCAAATTCTCCGAGATATCCATGTTGAGGATTTGTAAGTTCAGTAATAAGAAAGGTGATCATATTAAATTAGTAGTTCTAAATCCCACAGTTCTGACATTTTAAAATCTTTCATTTCAGTATGAAATGTATTATAATTTTTGGTAGGGACTTTATCAGTATTCCAAATGCCTCTATAATTAACCCTTACTTATCATCGTCGTTCTTGTCTATATATGCCTTCGTGTTAAATTATGTTTATGCGACAGTGTATTAACTTTAGTTAGAATTAATTATTATGTTTAAGGTAACTTACCAAATATAAATTTATGTTCACAGCATTGATTCACACTGATTATGTGAAGGTTAGTGACATTATTTGGCTACTTAAAATGGAGTAAGTGTAGCACTGTTAGAACTTGCTACCTATCAGTTGAAAATAGAGCGCTTCAACCAGTACGCGACCACTTAGTCTCTCATAATTGTCATAACATTGTGATTGTTTAGCATTAAGACTAAAAACTGGATATATAGATACATTCTAGAATAAAAAACATTGTTTTGGAATACAGATTTCCCTATATTCTCTTAGTGTAATTGGATCTGGATGTATCTGACTCATCCTGTTAATCTGGTTTATTTTTATTCATTTCCCTTTTCTGTCTATTTTCGTTTATTCTAGTCAAGATTAAAACGTCATCTTCAATGGCAAAACAGTGGTATTTTTATGTTCGAAAGTTTTTCGCCTTATACATTATTGTATGAACATATATATTCATGTAAACATTGCAGCAAATAATAGTTTCAGTGCAGCAGTATGATAAGACGTTGGAGAAAATCCACAGGAAGCCCTTAATATAGATTTCAAGCTAGCTGTTACTTGTCAGCAAGAGATGTTGGGATACTAGAAGAGACTGATACTTTGAACGCCATATCTTGCAGTATCTCTTAAAGAGGTGTTGTAATTAAACATTCACCCACTCGATATCAAAAATTAATCCTTGGGTCGTCGAGTCACTTAAAGCAGTGGTTACATTGTAACGGTATTTGTATAGTTTCATCAGCACCAGACTAGACAAATATGGAGTTGATTACTTATCAACGATCAATTAGTTTAAATATTTCAACCTTAAAGGAAGTCAATCACAACCTGACTAGCTCAGGGGTAACGTATATTAATGACAACAGATGATATGGTCTCAAATTTCGTAGAAAGCATCAAATAACTCCAGATTAACAATACTTTTCCTTGATTGGTGACAACTAGCCCTTTATCTACATTTAAGGTTTCCTCTTCATTACCTTCAAATAACTAACAAAAGCTTACTACACTCGACCCCGAATCATTTAAACTAATGATCACATTGGAACTTGATCGGCAGATTTCAATCAAGATTAAGGACTAGGCGAAACATGACACTAGTTACCATTCGGTAATCATTCACTGTAGAACTTACATAGCTTGTATCGTTGCTCCTTTAAAAGTAGCATCAAACCTTTCTATTTTTTCCATTGTATACATTACTTGATATTTACATACACTTAACAAAACTTAGAGAGTAGTACATGGCCATAAAACTTGAGGGTGGATGTTACGGACACTAACGCAGAGGAGATATTGATACGAAGGCAGTCCCTAACTCGCACATTCGTATCGGTGCACAAAAAATGTGAAAAGATATCTTTTCTGGAGAACTTATACTGTGTTGAAAGATGCCAAATTTTGTTACAAAATTATCCTATTCCAAGTGAATGATAAGGACTGAAGAATATGCTTTAAGAAACAATTATATTCCTATAGATGAACTTTTCAGAGTCCTATGAGGTCACTTTTTCTGAAGGTTGTAGTTTTCATTAATTCAAATGTCCAAGATTGTATATTTTTACTTACTGATTTAGAAAGTTCTTGCAACTAAAATCATTTCATTTAAATATTTAAAATAGGAATGCTTTGGAGCGACACACATTAAGACTATTACGGTTTAATATCAATGTACCATTTGGAGTATATGCCAGATATTATTTTGACCTGTTAACCGTTGGGGAGAGCGCTGGAGTTGCAAACCAAGCTGTTAAACGAAAACGCTTAACTCCTGAAAGAGCACGCAACTTCCGAATATTACCTACTAATTTGGAAATATGTACATCGGACAAAACATTATTAGATAGAGGATTTCTTTTTGACTTACCTTCTTTCACAAAATCAGAAGTATTGTGCAATAAAAAAGAGAAACAAAAGCGTATTAATATTCAGAAATCAACAGAAGTTAAATGTTACAAAGACGGTAATCATAAAAAGTTCATTAAAACTCCTTTTTTAAGTCGAAATCAGGCAACTAACCATGAGGTTAACTTGTCGAACCCAAAGTTTGATCTTATGCTTGATCATGTAACAGTTCCTGTTGATAATAATTACCAGTCTTCCAATAATGTAATTTCCGATGAATCGTTGGTTCCAATTCACCTAGATGAAGAAACCGATTTTGTAAATTCCACTCCCCCAACTTTTTCAAAGTTAAGAGATTTTACTTGTCAGTCGAAACAATCAAAGACAAAGTACTCTTACACAAACCAAGAGCCTTCTAACCAATTTCATCCCTTATTATTATCATCATCTTTGGATTATCAAAAAGAAACAGTTCCTTGCACGAAGCTTCTGATCAACTCCTGTAAGTCTTTCCAAACGTCAGCTTGTGTTCGGAATTTTAATCCACCTTGTTCCTTAAATGAAGCAACAGGTGTAGATCCCAATAATGTAACCGATTCTCATATGAGAACAGAGTTTATACGATCTCTTATGGGTGGCGATGTAGCTTATTCCTTATTACGCGATTCTGGATTATATTGATTAGCTAAGGTTTATTATATTTGCTATTAATATTATTTGTGCTATTGTTATTAATGCTTATAGTGAGGAACTTTCTACTAAAAATCTGGCTATTTTGTTTTTGTGTGCATTTATTTATTTGCCTTTATCACTAAAACTACTTCTATTTTTACTCAGTTTTATTTTTATTTCATACTGTTTTCTTAACATGCTAATATTAATCATTTCATTCTTCCCATGTGGATGTTAAACATTTTTAAGTCTCGTAATCAAATCCCCCATATATATATATATATATATATATATATATATATATATATATATATATATATATATATATATATATATATATATATATATATATATATATACTGTCAATCTAGTCTCTTCTGTATATTCAACAATCTGCAATATTCGAATACAACGATTGTGTTTCCATTACGATTATTAGCAGTAGTATTAGTGATAGCAATTTTATAACTCTACTATAAGTTGGTATTTTCTTATGTGTCATTTTGTGTTTTTCGTACGATGGTACATATATATATACTTTACAAAGAACTGTATGTTTAGTATTTTAGATTCCTCTCATTCGTTTACTACGTATATAATTATTATATTTTCCTCAGATAAGTATTCCTTCTTGTATTTATCATTTGACAGATATATGAATAAATAAAGTTTATTATAGGTATCATATTTATACAGGAAATGATTAACAATGTACATTTTTTGATTAAATAAAAAATAAACGTTTATGATTTTTAGCTATCAGCAAGAGATTTTATGAGCGTTACTACTTGGATTATATATACTAACTGCATCACTCCTCAGTAATCACCGATGTTTGGACGTATCTCATTACTGAGTAAAGTTAAAACAAGAAACAGTGGATTTTTCATCGCTCCACAGGCCTGGTATTTGCCCCCAAATGTCCTGGTATGGCCGAGAGTGGAGTGGGCCCTCCCTCTCTCACACGACCACGCGTATACAGACTCTGCCATGGAAGTCCTACTCATTGCCTTCTCGTGGCGGGAGTATTGTTTACGAAATTGAGAGGACGAAAAGCGAATGTCCGGCGCTTTAACCGGATTCCAAACCAATGGTTCACATGGACTCTAGCATCCTGTGGGAACAAATGGCGTATGAATCAACCGTCGGTCACCGACTACCATGAAATTGCATCTCCTCACGATGCTCCACTGCCTTGTGGGTTAGACCTTTAAGTCAAAGGCTTGGGGTGTGTCCCCCTAAGAAAACCACCTGCTTCGGTCTGGGCACCCGTGCAGTATCACAGCCCACACACACAAATATGGTGTGGCGCATATATATTTGGTACCCTTTTGTACCAATATTTATGTGTTGAAATAAAATAAAGTCAACCGAAGGGCGAGTTTAATATACAACAGTGCACTTCACATTACTTTACAGCTGTAAAATACTGTCTGAAGATTCACGATACTGCTCAATATATTGGTAATTGAGATACGTTCGGTGACTTCCTGGTTAGTGGGGCGGTAGTCATTTTCTGTCCTAGATGTTCAGTGATATGACTGGAAGTCTATCACAATCCGGTTAATTTTTTTATCTGCTTATAAGCCTTTAGCTTTGTGTAATTCTGGTGTCTCACTAACATTCGTCCCTCAAACTTGTACTATATATGTTTGAGTTTTACTACAGTTCGGGTTTTGATAAACCATCCTTTGATCTTCATCTTATTATCCTTCACTATCCCAATCCCTAAAAAGTTACATTTACCAAACCTGTTTTATGAGTCCACTTTGAGTCTTCACAAGTCAACAACCTATTATACTACTTAATTACACCTGTTACTCCCAATGGAGCATAGGCCGCAAACTAGCATTCTTCAACCCATTCTGTCCTGGGCCCTCTTTTCTAGTTCCATCCAATTCTTGTTTACTCTTCTCATGTCTTTCCATTTCCCGGCGTATTGTGTTCTCCTTTGGTCTTGAGGATTCCACGTGAGGGCTTGTCTTGTGGCGCAGTTCGGTTCTTTCCTCAGTGTTCGCCTTATCCACTTCCAGCGCTTCTTCCTCCACTGGAATCTGGTTTGTTCTCTCCCACAGTTGGTTGTTGCTAATAGTGTCCGGCCAACGGAACAGAAGTATTTTGCGTAGACAACTGTGAATGAGCACTTGTATCTTCTGGATGATGGCTTTCGTAGTTCTCCAGGTTTCCGCCCCTTACAGTAGAACTGTCTTGACATTTGTATTGAAGATTCTGACCTTGGTGTTGATTGACAGTCGTTTTGATTTCCAGATGTTCTTCAATTGTAAATATACTGCTCTCTCCATAGTAGTTCCTTCTCCATTCAGTAGATCATGAAAGGCCTGGAACTTATTGCTGAGGACTATCTTGAATCTGTTGAGTTTTTCAGTATCCCGAAGACAAGCCGTATTGAACTTTTGTGACATTGTAACATCTTATATTAGTTTCGATCGTCTGGTTTCCTCTACTTGCTCAATGATACCGAATGCACCGTGCTTTTATAACTTCTACTTTGTTGGCTATTGGAGTGACTGTATATATAATTATCATGTTGCCAATCTCAGGGCACCCCAAGTCGTAAAGTTTATGTTTCTTCTAGTCCTTAAATTACTATGCTTTCTGTGCAACAGTGTGAATGCTTTGTAAATTACTACAACGAAATGGGAATATGTAGTCGCTTGACACCAATTCAGAATCCAATATATTCGCTACGAGTTTGTACAGATCGATTTAAATCTTTGTGTCTATATATGGTTGCTTTGGTATAGTTTCGAGTATTTGGTCGTAGTTAATAAGGAGCATTTCGCGAGACCGTGTTATAAATCAGCACATGCTTGGATTATCGATAGGTTATTACATCACTGTTAGTGCTAGTTCTTTTAAGTATTTAATCACAAGTGTGATTGTATTAACTCATCGTATAGCTCTGCTAGATTTGTTGCTCATCTGAAGTCTAATTAAGTGAGGGGAAATGGATAGCAATCATATGCCGCAGAAAACATTTTTGCTAAAATAACGTTAACCAAGAGTTGTGAGACCTTCGTTTAGAAGAAGTTTGACACCTAGTGGTGTAAGTCGAAATTTTTATGAAGTCCAAGTTTGGTGCTTTTTTTAACAAACAACAATACGTGTACAAGGAATATCCGGATACTTATGGAGACAGGTAGGATCAATCGTATAGCTATGGAAATAAGGTGATAACTTTATGGTTTTATGAGTAAATGAAATAAATCCAGAGAGAAAAGAATAGATTCGGAAAAGATGCTGATGTACTCTGTACATGCAGAAAAAAATGCTTCACCAGTACAAGGAACTACTCCGATACTTTCCTGAAAAGTTATCAGATGGGTATATCATGTATCAAAATCATCTGAGCACGCTTCAAAACAAAGGTTTCGGAAACAGCGCTCTATTTAAAAAGACAGTAGTATTCTTTCTCGTTGAGTTAATTAACTGTTTTGATCGTAAACTACGCATCAAAACTACTGTTTACACTTTAATTGCATCTACCCCAGTTAAAGTGATATGGTATTGAGTTTTTCGATTTTGCTTCTGTGTATCTATTGCATCGAAGCATACTTGGTGGACTTTTACTTGGTTTTTTAGTTAAGGTTTGAAAATCCCTTTACATATCCTGTTTTTTATCACCGTTCGAGTTGATTTTCACGATGGCTAAGTGGACAACCATACTGCTTATTTCCCGTGGAGGAAGGGATGCAATGTGATGAGTGTAATAAGTGGTTCCATAAGATGTGCACCCGACTAAGCCCCACTGCATATAAAAGGTGTTCAAAGCCCAACTCTCACTGGCTTTGTAGTTTTTGTTGCTCAAGCAAAACATTGCTTATCCAGGAAGCAATTAGTCTCCTGGTGTTGGCTAATAAGAAGGTTGATGAAGGCTGTACTGATAACATTGGTACTGATGGCGAAGATTGCGTTAGTGTCGTAAGTGCTATCACGGCGCAAGCCAGACATCTACCTGTGCAACCCGCAGTTAAACGTTCGCCCCCAAAACGTTCAGTGAGTGCCATGTCATTAGACGTTGGTGGCCATATTGCTACAGCAGCAACCGGTGACCCAGATAAAACAATTACTGTCCCGAGTTGTTCTAATGTAGACGTTTCGACTGATGGAAAATGGATGACGCGAAAACGCAGAAGAGTAGGAAAGATAGCTAAAACTAATGACTGTTTACTTGGTAAGTCCTTGGTGGACTCTCAGGCCAATCCGCCAAAGTCCCATAGTAAAGTTTCATCTGACATTGTTGTGAGTCATTCGCTTGACTCCCAGGACTCTGTTAAAACAAAAACTAATCGTAAGATACCAGTAGTTAAAATACAGGATCTAACGTCACGGTCAAAAGCTGTGAACACAGTCTCAAAAGAAGCCAAACACCTCCCTAGTTTAATTATTTGGAATCTAGAGGAGTCGAAAGACAACGACAATGCTAGAAGACATGCACATGACCTGCAGTTAGTGGAGTCTGTGGTAAGGAATGTACTACCTGAAGAGGTTTCAGGAGTACATATTACAAAAGTAATACGACTTGGTAAATGGGTTGGAGGCGAGACCCAACCAAGAAGAATCCTGAAGCTGGTTCTCGGGAGTATTGATGAAAGAGACATATTATTGAAAAGCGCACTAAAAACTCGTGACTCAAATATCCGTATTCGACCAGATTGGCCACTTGAGGATCGAATCAAGTGGAAGAATGCTCTTATGGAGTTAAAGACTCGCAAATGGCGAAAATAACCTTACCATTAAGGGTTTTCGGGTAGTCAGGTCTTGGAAGCCAATGCTTCCGAGGCCTGTATGGGTAGAACGATTGATTGCCAAAACACCTTAAGTGTGTGCTACAGGAACGCTCGTAGTCTTAGAAATAAAACGTCCGAGCTAAGTCTGATGATGCAAGAATTATGTCCCGATATAATCGTTGTTACAGAAACTTGGTTCACCGTTGATATAGACTGTCC